TTATGGATATATTTACCATAGTTTTTTCTTATGTTTCTCGTATATGTTCTATGTATAAGAGGAATCCAGCATATGACATAGTTTTCCAGTTGCTAACACAGATTGAACTAAAAACTCAAGGCGTCTTAAGGAGGGGTTCACTTGGGTCAAGAATTCTTTCTCTGAGGCCAAGAACTGCACCGTTCACTTCTTAGAATGACTGCTAGAGTTTGAGGAATGTTCCTAATCCACACAAAGGGCTCTATAAAATGTAAAGCCTGAAAAATTCTATGCTGAAACTCAGGTAGTTTCTACAAAAACATTTTAAATAAATAATATACTGCATTGTCTCCTTTTGGTTAATTTCAGTTACTTTAAATATATTGTTCTGGAAATTTCAGAAACAGAAACTGTAAAAAAAAAAATTTCTGATAAAATATTCAGTTCTTGGCCAACGCCCGCAATCGAAGACTGGTAACTAGTATGGTACGCGAATTATACTGTTGCCATGGTAACGGTACACTACTTGAAGATCGCTTAAGAAAGCAAGAAAAATTCTTGAGATAGCAAGAAAATGGATAGAGATTTTTGGTAAAGCATGTAAAAAGTGATGCATATATTCATATATCCTAGGCTTTTGCATTATTTTTTTCTTCTTCTTTTCTTTCTCTCCTATTTTTAAGACATTTCACCATGAATCTGAGAGATCTAGTCAAATAATTGTTGTAGCCCGGAGTGATGTTGTCATTTGTATTTGATTACTTACCTAGTCAAACCTCAACAGAATCGTTACCTTGACAACTTCTTCAATGTGGTTCGGCTCCCTCATGACTTTGACGCAGAGCAGAGTCGATCCCTGATTGTGATATCCAAAAATGAGGAGATGATCAACTATGCCAGAGAAGCCGGTGTGTCTCTCGCCATCGGCCCAGAGATTGTTAAGCTTGTGCAGGTTAGATTATTTTATATATGATTAAGGTAGAGGATGTGTGAGATAATGGAAATATTTGTATTTTGTTAGCATACGATGAAGATATCTTCTGGCTTTCTTACCTATATGTTATAATATCATTTGCTTTTATCATCTCTCAATTACATCATTAAAACAATCATTGAACTTCATGTGATGTCTTCATATTGAATCTGTTTTGACAAAGAATTGTTTCTGATTAGTATTAATTGAGTATATTCACTGTATAGAGATGTTCATTTTCATATTTTTAAAAAATGTATCCCCAACAAGAAAATGAGTAACTTTTGACTTATCATTTGATTTTTTTTTTTTTTTCTAGACTGGTGAAATAAGCCTCTTAGATTATGAAAACATAATAGCTGACACAGAGCTGCTCCCGGACTTGGTGCCATTAAGAGGACTCATGAAGAAAAGGTTCCCCAATGTTAAGTCAGGTTAGAGAGCATGTTGTGTTGTCAGATGTGCGCTTCATTGTTAGATATATATCAGTTTACTTCTAAGCTGTTGAAATCAAAGTTTATCGATAGATACTTTTGGCCACATCAGTGTTGACATTTTGGGGGGTTAAGTAATGTTAAAACAATAAATGACGTGAAATATCTGGGGCTTTTACACTTCAGAGAACATCCACTTAGATTTTGGCTTATAAAGAATGTCAAAGAGAGTTTAACCCAGTTAATCATAGTATATAAATTGGCTAGTAGCTGGTAATCCAGGGCAGATTCCCCCATTTCCCTTCACTTTACATTAAATAGTGACACCAGACAAATGATATCTGATATCGGAGAAAGACAAATTCTGTGTTATGAGCCAATGGCGCAGGATATGTCATTATGTGGTGCCACCCAAGCTTTAGGCCCAGCTTCACTGTGGCATTGTATTTTTGATGCTAATTTAGAACAAGGATTAGCCTGTTGCACCCAGGGGGCGTAAGTACAGGCTCACAGCTATTTGTGAGGTGAGGCAGTGTTATTTTGCGAGTTCTTTCAATCTGTATTGTAACCATAGTCTCGCATAACCTATGTTTTATTGATGCCAATATGAGTCCAGTCCAACACTCATGTCAAAATATATTTTTAGATATATGAATATTAACCCACTGATACTGGGATGGCATGTAGTATCCTCCCACAGAAGGTGAAACAGTCATGCAAGGCAAGTCCTTCTCATCAGATAGCTTCAAGCTGGTATTAATTGTATACAAGCTCTTTGTCAATTTGACATTGCTAGAGTCCAAATGCAAGTGAGACTGCTTATATATACCAAGGTGATGTAGGGCAGTGGTTTTCAAACTTTTTTGGCTGTAATCCATACAAATTATTTTGATAGATACGTACATAATGTGACTTTTTGGTGCATTAGCGAACATTAGGTGAGTCGACTACCGCTGATAAGTACTAGACGTGTTAGGATGAGTAGTGGGAGGAAGAGGAGGAGAAGGAAGAGGAAAAAGGAAGGGTTGAAGAATCGTGCGACCCCTCAAAATTATTTTGTGACTCCTACTTTGAGAATCTTCTGTTGGGGCATGATATGTATTATTAACATCAG